GGGTCTACCGGCGCCTGCAGCCTTTCAGAACAGCCCCCAGCCCCACCCCCAAGAACCAGCCTTTCCCTCCACCTTTGCTGGGTTCTGCTGGGAACTGTCTGACTCAGGCTTCCCCAGTGCTGGCCAGGGCTCATTAAGGAGCTGTGGGACTGGGCGGGGAAAGCATGGCGGGCTGGCTACAGATGGAGTTGTGGTTCGCATGGCAGCCGGCCAAGGAGTTAGGCTGGATTTCTGGATGTTCTTTACTGCACCCCTGTCTCTGTTCTCTGAGTCGCCCCTTTCCCGACCCCTGGCCCTGCCTGGCTTTGACTCCTGCCTGGCTGTCTCCCGCATGAGCTGAGCTCAGGGGCTGGGCTGGTGACCTGCTCCACTGACACCTCCGATCAGTCTGCTCTGTCACTCAGGGAGCAGCTGAGCAATTGTGCCCTTGAGTGGCATTCTCAGCCAGCCAATCAGCTTTGTGAGGAGTTCATGGAGGCGGGGCAAAGAGATCTCTTGTTAGGTCAGCAAGGAAGCAGCCAAGGCCCCACCCCCAGGGAGCCGGCTGGAGACCATGTGGAGGGAGCCGCTGCCTCTCCCCTGTGTAGCAGGAACTTTCCCAGTGGGGCAACTCTGCCCCCTGGAGCCTGTCTCCATCGCTTCTGTCACCGCCAGGCAATGGGAGCATGAGTGGACTCCCCAAGGGGTGCACGGTGAGAGACAGGGGGCTGGCGGCTCAGGGAGGGGTGGTCCCAGGAGGCAGAGGGGCACCTGTGACTCTCGCCTGGCAGCTGACACTCTGCTCCTTGCTTCCCTCCTGCTGCTTCACCTCTAAGGGCTTCTTTCTCCTTCCTTGTCCATAGCAGGCAGCTACACAAAGGCAAGTCACCAAACCTAACACCCCTGTGGCCAGCATGGGGCTTGCACCCATGACCTGGGCATGACCTGGGCATTATTAGCATCAAGCTCTAAACAGCTGAGCCAGCAGGCCCATGAGTGGCCCTTTGGGAAAGACCCCACAGGCAGCTGCAGGGACATCTCTGCTGCTGCCACGAGCTCATCTCTGATGGGGCCACGGGCAACTCACTGTGATGTGGGCTGGCTAGTGCAGAAGTCAGAGGAGCAGGAGCCTGGGTGGGTTCAGGGGGGCCTTGAGCAGGAGCAGGTTTTGGGGGAGGGGCTGCTGGGCCACTGAAGCAGGTGACCAGGTGGTTGGCAGCTGCTCTGTGGGCTGTGCACATGGTCCCATCACCTGGACATATGGAGCCTCCCTCTGCGGCTTGGGCTGGAGGAGCCATGGGGCAGCCACTGCAGCAGCAGGAATTTGGGATCAGGTCACCCCACTGGGGACAATGGAAGGAAGAGAAGAGTTTTGCCTGCTTTTGGAGAAAGCCAACCAGGTCAAGGCCCTTTTAGCCTCTGGGTCTGTGCAGGCTGGAGCCTCCTCCTATCAGTTCTCTGGCCTGAGTCCTGCAACACTCTCAGCCTTTTGCTTGTTTTTGCTTCCCTGTCCATAGCAGGCAGCTAAAGCATGTGTTTGACAGGGACAGAAGTAGTCACCACAGCAAACAACTGTGTGGCCAACATGGCACTTGAACCCATAACCTTGGCGTTATTAGCACCACACTCTAATCAACTGAGCTAGCCGGCCTTCGGTAGTTGAGCTCACAAATGTCTCTGCAGCTGCCGAGGGCTCTTCTTTGACAGGGCCACTAGCAACTCATTGTGACGTTCCACTCTGATGTGAGCTCACTAGTCCAGATGCTTTGAGGTGTGGTCAAGGTGGCTGGTGGCTGGCATGGCGCACTGAGACCCAGGGCAAAGAAGCAGCTGGAATCTCTTGCTGCCAGCACCTTGCCTCCCAGCTTCTTCCCTGTCGGCAGCAGCCGCAGCCCCTTTCAGCCACTGGGAAGAGAGGCAGGAATGGGGCCAAGTAGCAAGTCAGGCTGAGGGGGGAAGGCAAAGCTCATCTTTCCTTGCAGGGCCACTGGCAACAGCTTCTCTATTGTGCACTGCTGAGGAGAAAAATGCCGAGAGAGACAAGAAAGACCAATTTAGAAGAGTGTTTAGAGGGGGGCACCTGTTAACGCCAGGGGGGCAAGAGTCAGAGCCTGGCAGCTCCTGGGGACCACAAGGGTAAGCAGCAAGCTCCAGGCAGGTTAAGTTTTAGGGCCCAGCCCATCTCAGCCAAACCATAGCATCAGACTGAGCTCCAGACACCCAGAACTCTCTCTTTGGGGATCCTGCAGACAAGGAGCTCAAAGCTCATAAAGTGGGAGGGTTTTGCAACAACCAACCCAGCCCCAGCAAGTTCTACGGTGATTTGAACTCAGCTCACAGGATTCAGAGTCTGAGTGCTGCCCCTTACATCATGGAACCTACATGAGCCTGCAGTGACTCAATTAGGCTGAACTGGAGCCTCAGCACATGCCCACTGGGACCAGCTTTGCTTGTTTTCCTTCCACCCAGAGCCCCTTTCTCCTCCTGAGCTGCAAGGAGCATCCCTGGGACGCCCTGAGACAGGAACAGGACTCTGCCTCCCCATAACCAGCCCCACCCCACCCCACCGGCTTTGGCAGAACAAAGGGTGAGGGGGCCTACCTAGACTGCTCCCTTCTTACACACTTCAAAATGTCCATCCCTAAATAGGCCAACACTGTGTGGCCTAAAAGATCAGGCATCTGACTTTGGGTCAGAACACTAAGGGTTTGAGTCTCCTTGCAGTTGTGTTGATTGTGCTTGTGGGTCTTATACTTGGAAAGGTTCTGTAACAATATGGATCCAGCGGAAGACCTCTAGCTATTTGGCAAATATAAAGTAAAGCCTTCTGCAGCCAGACTGAAGAGTGGCAGCAATTAACTGTAGAGCTTGGGCTTGCATTCCATCTAAATGGTGTTTCAATAGGGTCACACTAGGCTATGAGAAGGGGCTTGGATCCTAATGACACCCACTGTCACCAAGGAAGAAACAGATCTGAAGGTGGGTGGAGAAAACTTAGTTAACAGCACTTTGTCTGGCAAAAAACTCCTTAGCAATAGTTGTGTTTGTGCAATTGGCATTCTTTGATTATCCTCCTCGCTTTCCTATTGTTTGTCTGTGTGTTCGCTGTCTGGATTGTAACTGTTTCTGTCTGCTGTATAATTAATTTTGCTGGGGGAAAATCAACAAAGGTGGTGCAGTATGATTGGTTAGGTAAATCGTAATAGTATGTTATCTTTGGTTAGTAAAATTATACTAAAATAATTGGTTAAGCAGGACTCAATTTTCACTCTATAAACTGGGGTCCAAGAAGGAGACCAGGGAGAAGAAGGAAAAGGGGAAACGAGAAGAGGAAGAAGGAGGGAAAGGGAAAGGAAGGAAGAAGACCAAGAAGGAGGAGAGAAGACCTGGAAGCAGAATTCACCTCCAAGGCAGCCTCAGACCAGAGCAGCCAGGACCCCTCTGCATGACTGTTGAAATGGTTTGCTGTGTGAATTCTGTCAGGTGACATCAGGCCTGGGCACTGCAATTATTTACCATTTTCCCTGAGGTGGTAGGACTCAGTGCTGTGATGACTGAGTGGTTAACGCGTTAGACTAAAAATCTAATAATGCTTCCCTGTGCAGGTTCAAATCCTGCTCTCAGTGAGGTTTGTGTTTTGGTCACACCCATTCGTAGGGCAACAAGGTACTCAAGTCCTGAGACCCCGGAGAAGAACGTGCCTGGCGCAGCAGAAGGGACACCTGGGCTATGTC